CAATATTTATAGAATTTTACAAGCAATATTTCATTAATATTCTCAAGTTAGACTACTGGTATAAAGACTAATGTTGGACAATTTTATCAACTAAAAAGGTCAAATATTTATAACGCTAACATTTAGTGCTATTTGATGAATATTTCTGTTAAATCCGAAGGCAAAATAATGTCTTAATATTATGTTAAATGTCCGGACACCCTACCCTCCATCATACAATGTTAATCAATGTCTACATATTCTAATGAATATTATTGTTCATAATTTTACTTACACAGCAAAATGGTAGGCAAAGCATTTCCATCCGGATGGTCTCTCCAAGAAATTATAGACTCTCCCTTGAAAGCTCATCCGAACTGACGGTCTTTTGCTCACATGTTCTGAGTACTTTCTCTCAAATTCTTTGTCATTCTGCACACTATTGTTGAGGTTCAAAGTTTGAACAAGAGGGCTACGCGAAGAGCTGTCTGCTTGTTGATTATAGGCCATACAACCGGGGGCCTGGCCCGCCCCGCTACTACCCATGTCCGATGAAGAACTTACGGGGTCCAGTTCAATTACACTCGAGTAGTAGGCCTTGGGCGCGGGCGAAGATATGTTGCGAGATTTCGTTCCTGAATCTTTTTCAGCCATCGCTACTTTTGTAGATCTTTGCTCCTTCGGATTATTTCAAAAACATCACGAGAGTTAAACCTCTGAAAGCACAGCATCCAAAATGGGTTAAAAATTTCATTCAAAAATGTGTCGCGGCGACGTCTTTAAGTGCGAACGAGAGCTACCAGTCAAAGATGCAATTCTCAAGCGTTAAGCTCGCAGCAATCAATGCACGTCGTCGATAATATTCACGTGCAGTTTCTTTTTTCTCCTTTGGATGCGATGGTTATCCGGCCGCGCACACTAATGCTCGGTGTTTTGCACGCCGACGGGTTCCCGTGTTGTTCAGTCAGCTTTCGCATGTAATTTGTCATTAGTATACCAGCGCCGCGACGCCGCACCCGTTGGAAGACGACATCCCGCGACCAGCAGAGTTTGTTTACTATTACATGTATTACGTAGTACATATTCATGAAACAATCGACCAATCAAAAACTTTGAAATTGTTTCGCCTCTTTTTGCATCTGCTAGGCCACTTGTAGGGGGTAAAAAAGAAAAGGGTTTGTGAACTTGTCAACAAGTTTATGTGTTTTTCCTGTTTTTTTTTTTTTAATTTCACCTTGCATTTTTCTTCTGTTATTGTTTCCTGTTGTTAAGTTTATTTCTGAATGTTTTGTTTTTAATTCTTCGATTGTTATTGCGCTTTAGGATATTATGTTTGACTGCTATTTTGTTCTGCTGGCGAACAGAGCAACAAGACCAAGCTCTGTAATTATAAGGATCTCTGTCCAGTAGTGCCGTGTTTGCAGGGGCGTACGCAGGATTTTTTCAAGGGGGGGGGGGGGGGGGGGGGGGTTAAAATCTGGCCCAAAATATTTTGCTCCCGAAAATTTGAAAATCGCGCCTGCCGAAAAGTCGCTCAGTGGGTGGGGGGGGGGGGGGGGGGGGGGGGGGGGGGGGGGGGTAAGCGGACACTTTTTGGTAGTCCAAAAAAAATCGCAACGACCGAGCCAACCGAAAAGTCGCTAAGTGGGGGGGGGGGGGGGGGGGGGGGGTAAGCGGACACTTTTTTTTTTTTGTCTCGAAATTTGAAAATTTTACATTTTTTTCGTTAAGGTCACTTTACGTTAGCCGTGGGCATAATTTTTTTTTTTTTTTTTTTTTTTTAACTAAAAAAACAAACAAAACAAAACAAAAAACAAAAAACAAAGGGGCGGGTTTTAGTTTTTTAGGGGGTTTACACACATAAAAATACCAAAGGGGGGGGTTTGAACCCCCAACCCCCCCCCCCCCCCCCTGCGTACGCCTCTGCGTGTTTGTGCCATAGAACTGGATCGACCAAATTAATTGATTCATAATATATATATATGCAATATTTTTTTCTATTTTTGCTATTAATTAAATGTAATGTTAACTGTTATTGTATAATTGTTTTAAATGGGGACACGCTACAAGATTACATTAATCTTGATCTAAGGAGACACGAACGAACGAATGCTATTTTGTTTTGTTTAGCTTTTATTTTGTATTTTTGAGTGTAGACCCCCTACTTGTTTTATTGGGAGAGGAGCTATAGGGGGTATTTAGTATTTTGTAGTTCTTGTTTCTTTTTTCTTTCTTTTTTTCCTTGATTGTTTATATGGTATTGTTTGTTTTACGTTTGGTTTGCATAATTCCCAAAGAGAATTAAGTTTTAATTATTTGAAACGGGCAGTTTCTTTCTTTTAACTCTTTATTTTATTTTTCTCCTTTATAGGCCTAATCTTTCTCTCTATATTTCGCTTTGTATTTCTTCATTCTCTTCATTTATCTTATCTTCTTTCTTTCTATGTTATTGTTTTTGTCCTTCTTTCATCATTTAATTATATATGTTTCCTTATGCTATTCTTAGATTTGATCCTTCTAGCATCTTATCTTTCTATTTTTCAATGTGTCAACCTTTGTTTTTATCCGTCCATTCCTTTTTCTTTCTACCTTTCCTTTATAATAATCTTTATATTTCAGTGGGGCTTTTTTCTCTCTTTCACTCTGTTTTTTCATCCTTCTCTCATATTCTCTTTCTGTCTTTCCTTATGTTATACCTTTTTTGTAATCCTTTTTTCTTCTTTTCTTTCACGCTTGAGGAACATTATTCCTGATTCAATAATTAAATCAGCTTTGTTAATATGAATGAGGCACCCGTCGACAACTCCAAAGGTCAAAATGCGACATAAAAATGTGAATAAGCTAGCTATTTCACGCTTTTTATCATAACAAATTGTGTTTTTGTTATATGAAAATCAGTTTATTAGAGGGATTGACTCCGAAAACTAATGATAAAATTCCAATTTCTTACGCAAAAAACGAACCTGCGCACCTGCTTAATTCCACCGTATTTGTGTTTGTGAATTTTAATGAATCTATGGGTTTCGTAAGAATACAAATTTAAAAGGGGAAAGTGGAGAGACAAAGAGAGAAAAGATCAAGAACTTGTGTATGGCTGACATATAAAAAGGAGACACATGATAATTTTTTCAAACAAACAAATGACATGCAGATAGAGACTACATTGTCAATAACACATAAACATTGACAAATATTGTCTTTTGTTTGCAAAATTTAACAAGGGTATTTTTATCGGGCAATATTTCAATGATAGAGAGAAATTATTATCTTTTTCAAAGTCTCAATATAAAGTTCGGCTTCTGATTGAAACTACGTAACTTTTTGGAGGGCAGTAAATATCATGCGCGAACTTAGGTCACACTTTTTGACGGACGTCGGTAGTGGTAAGGCTTCCGATATTCTCGTCTTATCATTGATTTGGAGTGAATAAAGCCTTGGAATATTATATAATCTGATTATATGATAAATTACGAATCTTATGACGTATGGAACATGATATTTGTTGATCTGGATTTTTTGTAATGTGCAATAAAAGAAAAATATCCGCGAACTTTGGTCACCCCTTCATAATGCCCAACATCACATGACCCATGACTTGGGGGGGGGGGGTAGTGAGCAGAGTTTTTCTTTTCTTTTTTTGCCCCCGGCAATTTGAAAATCGCGCCGGCCGATAATTCGCTCAGTGTGGGGGGGGGGGGGGGTAAGCCCCCTTGAGCTACAAAAAAAATCCTGGTCACCATTTTTTTTTCCTTTTTATTTGCAAGTTTTTTTTTTTTTTTTTTTTGGTCGGGGGGGGGGGGGCGGGGGGCCAAGGCACGTTCGCCCCCCCTGGATGACGAAAATGGATCGTTAAGAGCATTATTGTTGACCTCTCATACAGAAAGACATTTAAAAATAATAACAATATTTAATTTTTTTAATGATATAATATCACATATTCCTTTATTATTATTTTTTTTCGTTTTTCTTATTATTATTGTTCTTCTTGTTCTTCTTCTGCTGCTTCTTCTTTTCCTCCTCTTCCTCTCATCCTCCTTTTCTTTTATCTTATCCTTCTCCAATAACTGCACTTGGAGGCGAATAAATAAATAAACAAGGCAATAGGGGAAAGAAAGGAAAAGAACAAGAAAGATAATAATTAAGATAAAAGAAGGAAAAAAGGAAACGAAACGAAAAAAGTAGACCGGGCGGGTGGCCGCGGGGTTGATTCGATTGCATATACAACTAGCTAGTAGGCAAATGACAATGGCAATGGCAATTTATTCTCATTCTTCTTGGTTCTTGGTTGGTTGGTCCTCCAAACTACTCGTCTGAGTTTTGACTGGAGGTGCGGATTCCATGACATTTGCTCCGGCGACAATTGCTCCGCTGTAAATTTCATACACTAATCGAATGGCTAACTTCAACCCTGGATTCAACACTATACCCTACCCTAAACCTAACCCTAAACCTAACATAAAACCCTATTGAAACCCTAACCCTAACCCTACATCTTAGACGAAATAAAGCCCGGAGCAATTGTCGCAGGAGCAAATGTCGTGTCACCGAGGTGCGGGTAGGGTGTCACCCATATTGGGGTATTAGAGAAATGTACAATCATTTTGAATTCGTCAATTTAACACTGTATAATATACAATTCAAGTCGAATTAATGTTAATCAACCCGGAATCAACCACGGTGTTAATGGCCACGAGCCATGTTAATGTTAATTTTAATGTTTATGGCCACAAGCGCGCACGCTACATTGCGCCTGCGCGCAATATTGGGTATCAATTTTGCGCGCTCATCTGCACTTGCAAGAATTAGATATGAAAAAAAAACTTTCAGAAAATTGTCAAAATAGTGGGTGTTAAGAAAGACTAAAATTAAGTTTGATTTCAATAAAAAATAAAGTGGGGTTTTCCAGCAAAATCTAATAAGTGCATCATATCTCGAGGGAGGCGACGAACTAAAGTTTGGAAATTCTTTGACATCATCGCCTTTTTCAATGGTGAGCTCAATGCGGTTTATAGTTAAACGAAGTAAAAACTGATTTGGCTTAACGTTTTATTTGGATCAAAAAGCCTAAATCATATCTCTTAAGAATGCCTATATCAAGCTCTCGACGTCGACTAACCAGCCCTTTTGTGGGCCCATCAGCGAGTAGCACATCATCACTGTTGAACACCATCTCCAACTCGCCGGTGGCACAGTCGAAAGAAGGAGGGGGCGCTATCTCAGATAACAGACTGGAATCATTGAAGAAGGTCGGGAAGGCCTCAAAGCACCGATCTGTAGGAGCCCGAAGGATTACCACTAGCATTAAATTCCCGATCCTATCTCGAACTCAACCTACAATTCGGTGAGTTAGCAAGCATGATCAACATATTGCATAGCTACTTTGTCTTGTTTTTATTTTTGTTATTGGATTGGGCCCCTATTTTGAAGAGCAGTAAGGATCTGAATAAAAATCAGAAAATAATATGACTCAACTGAGTCAAATCCTAAGAGTAAACAGAAAATCACAGTATATGTGATCGAAGGTTGTGAAGAACCCAAGTTCAATAAGACAGTCACGCACATGATTCGGGAATGCCCCCCCCCCCCCCACTTCGTGAACGGAGGGATACCATGCGTGTTCCCAAAATGTCCGGTAAAGGGGTACTTTTCACGCACCAAAGTCCGGCTCGTAGTACACACAAATCCGACCCGTATTGACTTTACACACCGGACTTAGGGGGTGTTTTCAAAAGGAGGGAACATGCAAATGCGTTCCCTAAATAACACTGAGTGGGGGGGGGGGGGGGGTGAATGCCCTCTCTACTTCACAGTGAGGTCGTCGTTTATTACCAGCCTACCACTACCCATCCAGGAGAGGCTTCTCCCTCTGACTGGGGGGGGGGGGGGGGAGCGTTTCACAAAACTAGTCATCAGTGATAAATGACAGTTTTTGTTATAAGCTACTGAAATCCTTACTTCTGATTGGTAACCGACAAAGTTGTCACTGATTTTTGTCATTTGTCATTGAAAAAAAGGCTTTGTGAAACGCCCACCTGATTTGATGTCTGGTGCACTCACAGATCTCATCCTTCTATAGGGAAGACGACTGTTATCCCCGATCTGCACTGATTTTTTTTTTATGACAATCTCCTTTTACGCTTATTTCCGTATTTCATTCTTCTTGTGTTTCTTTTCTAAAGACTATCCCCGATAGAGTTCTTTGTCAAGCGGAAACAATTATTAAGGAGAAGAAGAACGCTGTTGCACAAGTCATGAATCTAGAATACGTCGGGATTTTTAAATTTAACTATGGATGGTAGTAAAGAATTCCAGTCGGAAGGAATGGATGATTTATTTGAATCTTTGTTTGAACTAGTTTCACTATAAGTATAAGACTTAATATTATGTGATCATTGGTTAAAAGAAAAACAGGGTGAAGCCGGTTCTGCCTTCGGATTTATCGGAAAATAATCAGCAAATAGCACTAACATTTATTACATTTTTGTCCTTTATGATGTCGTCCAACTTAAGTCTGAGACGATTTATGAAATATCGCTTGTTAACTTCTTGAAATTGCTGTTTTAAATCAACTGTCCGGATAAATAACGGTAGCCTAATAAGCTGTCTGGACACAGGTCATGAGCTGTGAAGAAGGTAGTTAGTCAAGCTATTTCTCCGTTCAGCAATTAGTGTACCCCATTCAAGATCTTTCAGCATGGAAGTAATACTACTTCGTGTGTCCGGAGAAGTTTGGTTATTCGGACAGTTTATTTTTTAAACTACAATTTTACATGCAACACTTTTCATGATAAATCTTTCGTTTGACAATGATTATAAATGACATAATGATTGTTATGTGGTGGCTTGTGCTGTTCGATTCATATTAATCTTCTTGAAGTCTAACGACAAACTTGACAGCGTTCCTTTTGTTTGATCAATTAATGTTCGAACAAAACCCCTACCAACATTATGAAGCTGTTTCAAAAATGTTTCGTTCACATGCTCAGGCAACAGCTGAGAGTCAACCACATCACATCCCCGTCCAAACATCACCGCAGAGGGCGTACCACCACACATATAACATCTAGCACCAGCAGCCGACAACACGGTGACCAGAGGCTGTCGATGGGCAAAGACCACTTTGCTCTAAAGAAGATTCGCTTCTTCAACGCCCCACCGCAGCCTGCCCCACTGACGTTGTGCTTCTCCTACCCGGGATATGACGTGACGCACATGGATGTCTTAGAAGATATCAAGAAACGACGAGCCATTGAAGTGAGCAGGATTAAAAGTATTCAGTTTGTGGATATGAACGTGGTTCTAGGGGCAGCAGGAGTCGATAACAGGTTGGTGTAATTATGGCTTTACGGTATACTAAACTCATTATTATTAAAAACGGCTTTTCCTGAAGGTCTTACATTTATTGTTGCACTGTCTTAACGCACCTAGGTCGAGATGAACACGTTTGTGAGATAAGCACCAGGAAAGTATTGAACCCCTAATAAGAGAGTTGAGAACCTTCAACAATAAACTGTAGTATAAAATAGACATATAAAGCCAAATAGTTGGGGTAGGAAAGGGGATGCTTAAATGAAACTTGTCCTAAGGGGTGTTTCACAAAGATCTTAGGTTGAAATTATCTCAAAGTTGGACTTAACAATTATGGAAAGCTGTTAGCAACTTTGAAATATTTTGTAAAAGTTATTTTAAAAGGCATAAAATGTTGATTCAAATCATTGATATTTTCTATTATCATGGGATATTTCATGTTCTTGATGTGGAATTTATTAAAAGCCGAGTATGCCAGATATCTTAAATTGCAAAAGCTTACCACTCTGCGGTGGCCTATCAAAAGACTTCCTTAGTCTTTATCATTTTCTTGATATTAAAAAAAAGAAGATTTTTTAAAATAATTTTTTGAATTGGATTGTACGACACCATGCTTCGGCCAGAATTGTTACGTTGGCCGAATTTTCAACTAAAACAAGAACCAGTGTTTTGAGTCCTGACCCCGCCCCCCCCCCCCCCCCCCCCCCCCATTCCGAGAACGGACGGACCCCATGCGTGTTACCAAAATGTCCTTTTCGTAACAAAAGAAAAGGTCGATCCGTATTGACTTTACACACCGGACTTTTGCTGAAAAGGGGGGTGCTGAAAAGGCTCGTATACAAAAGAAAAGGGTCGAGCCGTATTGACTTTACACACCGGACTTTTGCTGAAAAGGGGGTCGGTTGGAACACGCATATGCGTACCCTAAATAACACTGATTGGGGGGGGGGGCCGGGGTCCTGACCCTAAAAAATGACCACTTCACAAAATCTCTTTAGTCACCTATCTCTTATAGATGGAGTGACCCTGAACATCATCATCATCATCGTCATCATATTTTTCTTCTTCATTTTCTTTTTATTTTATTTTCTTTCCGCTTTAAATTTAGATGGTTGATAACCTTAGAAAATCAGAATGCTCGCTATAAACTTTTCCGAGACGGACTATCTATCAAGGGCGAACGAGTCTTTCTCAGGCGGTACGACGATGTCAACTATGAAGATTACCTCGACTTTTTGCGGCGGAAAAACACATTGCAGAGCGACGCGCACACCGCTGTGCAGAGACTGTTATCCCTATAAATTTCACACGCAAAATTCCTACAGTAATTTTGGAATGTGATTGAGCATTATACCCAGCGTATCGCAACCTTTTTGTGCATAATTTATGCAGTTAGTGAAATTATTTGAATTGTGCTCACTGGCTCGTAACCAATCAGATTGCTGGGATTTCTAAACCCATTCTATAAAATGTATTAATCCAATATGACCCAGAGCATAAACCTGGCATAAAGTTGGACCATAATGCATGATCCCGGCAGTGATATGTCTATGATAGTCAGGTGGGAGTAAATGGCGAAATAAATTGCACACACCATTTTCAAAATAATGTCTTACGTTTCATTGAATTTATTGCACATAATCATACCATATAGTATGAATAGTAAAGTAAAAATAGTTCAATAGTAAAGTAATAAGATGAGAGGTTTCCTGAAGGTAATGGGAGGGGGGGGGCGATATCGTTAATGTATTTTGGTACTAAGTATACTCTAACATTTAAAATGATTAATATTATTCATACATGAATATTTAAATTAATTATACAGTTGTCAACGAGTCCATATGATCATATAGTTAAAATGTAAAAGTATGATTTATTGTTTTAAAAAAATGTGCTGAGTTTATTAATGAGCAATGTGTTACTAAAAATTTGTTCAATTTGACCTATGCTCTATATAATGTACATAGTTGGAACCATGTGAAAGAAGAATTTCCACTCAATGTGGACAATAAAACAAATCAATCAATCAATCAATCAGATTAGTAACAATATACATTTCAATGTATTTGTGCAATATAAATTCATCGACAATTTAACGTCATTTACGTATTGAAATAAACAATATAAATTTAATCTACATAGATAAAGTCGTTTGCAAAACCATAAAGAAACAGAATTGAGAATAACTAAAACAAAATAATGTCTGATTAAGTTGCACTTCTTCCATAAAGGCTTTACAAATCGTATGAATATCCTGGAAGATTCCTTGAGGATAACCATTACACAACCCTGTTCTTTATACAGAATAGTAGGTACAAGAGAGAGAGAGAGAGAGAGAGAGAGAGAAGAGGGATATATATATATATATATATATATATATATATATATAATGTACACCGCTGCCTATATAGTTTGGAATACATTTTCTTACCTTATTTCATGAAAATGATTGTTAAAATCCGATTTATGGTTGATAGATAAAGTTCTGAAAAGATAACAATTTATCTTTGTCATTGTCACAATAATTTCATTTCAGAGGTGAGAAAAAACTATTCCATTTCTATGGGCAGCAGTGTAGAATGACAGACACACACACACAATAGACAGAGGGGCTGACAGGCACAGAGATAGGGGGGGGGGTCAGAAAAAACGAACAAAGGCAGACGTAATTATAATATTGAAATATACAGTGACAGAACAGTAAGAGATACGGGAATTTTTTTCTATCCCAATCAATTCAAGCCATGACATTATCTTCATAAAACATTTAAAATATAAATAATAAATACAAAGTAAAACATTTTAATTGAAATAAAACAGTCAAACAACGATTGAGGTAAATAATGAGAACCGTCATGTCATTTTACCCCGCCATATGTATTCTAAAGAAGCGATTTTTAGATGAAATGAGGGGATGTTTTAGAGTCATCAATAATTTTAACGAAAATTAGTCCCACTAACTGCACCAGAAGATAATTCAACTCTCTTATCATAAAAACGTACTTAATAGCATGTAATGATCCTAAGGAACAAAGTGATATAAAGAGTTGAAAAATGAGTCTATGTATTTGTTTATAATCAAAGCTAACTGTCAACAGAGCCAATTATACACGTAGTCAGGCCAACTCGAGTTCATGCTGTGCAGAGCAACGAGCGCTGAGGTCCAACTTACACAACATACATCGACGGCTCTGAGCAATAGCTTACAAGGACCCCCTAAGGACTTCTATCTCTATTTTCTCTCTGTCCCTTTCTTTATCTCACTCTCTCTATTTATCTCTGTCTTCTATGCTAACAAACCCATTTTATTTGTTCCACCTAGTGTTACACCGCTACTAGCCTATATTTTGAAATGTAATTAATTTGCTTTCCTCAGAGAACGTCCTTTTTATAAGCTGTTTTTCAGAGCAATAGATATATTCGAATATTTCTTTGGAAGGCCACATGCTTCACTCTTGAATCAAATTGTGATAAAGCGTATACAGCATTGGGTGGAGTCGGGCCACACCCCATCCTCCCGTTGAAAGGTTTTGGTTTTTTTGGAAATTGGAAAGAGTGAATACAATTTGTTCAAATTCAACGACACGTGAGAGCACTCCGCCCTGCATGTGATTTCACTCCTCCCTGGTGAAAGATTCTTAGCCACCTTGGCAATCACATATTTATACTTAATTTAAATGAATCACTTTCGGCTTTAAATATTTATCCGAGGTTAGAGGTCAGAGAGGACGTGATTAAAAGAGTTTGCCATATTTGGCTTACCCGTTCGAGTTGGGCACAATACTCGCGCTACCTACCCAAACCCATGGTCTGGTGATCCCTCTGGTGATCCGTCTGGTGAACCTTTCGTTTCGAGAAGGTTGCCCACTATAGCCGATGTGCCGGAGGTCAAAGAGAACGAAGCTTGTGGTCTTTCGAACAAGTGGGATCTAATCGACCATCCCAACCCATCGCTTTTTGGAAGACATTTTAAACTGTTAAATCATACCACTGACAATACTTTTCTCTCGGATTGCTCATCATTTTCATCCAATGCGCATGCGCCCGAGGGGTGCTCCGATAGGCCAGTATCACTTGACCGACTTCAGCGTCGCTGTAACTGGGGTCCGTGTCCGAGTCCTGTCGTCCGCTCTCTCGCTCGTTCGTAACGGCGACTAGAATCTGGATACGTTCCAGTTTCTCCGCCGGGATTTCAAAGAAGAATTTGTCGTTGAATACGGGGTTGACATCGGCTGTGACGACGCCAGTCTTCTTTTTCCTGTATTTTCTTCCGCCCATGATGAGACTGGCTTGGACGCAAGGGTCTGAAAACAATAAATATCATTCTCAGTTACACATACTGACCAAGAACATTGAATTGTGAGACATTCTAGAGCAAGTGCCATGAGCGCCCAGCAGAGGCGGAGACCGGCGCTGGCTGTGCAAGAAGCCATCATCATCATTTTAAACAACATTATCAATAATAATGATAATAATAATAATAATAATAATAATTATAATTGTATAATAACAGTAATAATTACAATAACAATTATAATAGTATACAAATAAATGACGGCTGCAAAACGAATAGTAATGATATTGTCTTCATGGTTAATATTCAGGTGTATTGTTATTTAATAATACACCTAAAATAACGATGATGATGATGATGATGATGATGATGATGTCATCGTTATCAGCCTACCTATATTCCTCGAGTCATCTGGACATGTAAGATTGCTCGCTCGTAAGATACCAAGAAGCAATCGATTGGAAGTCGGCAGGTAGCTCAACGAAAGTAGTATCTCACCGCACAATTTCTGGAAGAAAAAAAAAACGTTTGTTTTGACCTTCATTCAATGTTTTCAAATCTTAGTCTAACAGACACGTGGGCCAGTGAGGGAGACCAACACAAAAAAATCACACTTTCTTTTTTAAAAAGGGGGCACCTCAAAGCCCCCAAAATACAATTTTTGACATTGCTATAAAACTATGTCTACATTGTAATTCATACATTATCAGGGATGAACTTTAAGATTTTCTCTTTACATGGTCCGAAATATTTTTTTAACATTTTGCAGATGTGTGTGTTACATGTGATGGTCTGGAGATTCATGTGAGCGAACAAAATTTAATATCTTCAGGTTTGTGAGCTCACATTGTGACCAATTATGTCTTATTTTTAGATGAAATTATAACCAATCCTGGTTTTACGCACAGCCTCATAATGTAAAAGTGAACAAAATACATGCGAGCAAGCGTAAAACAAATTTTTCGGGAAATTCGAGTAAAATTGATTTCATGCTTTGTAAAGATTTTGAGATTCAATAGCCTTCATTTTATCATTTTCATTTAATTTCTGTTTTAAATAACCTTTTGTGGCGCCTGAAGATCGTAGGCCTTCGTAATCTCGTATGTTGTCGTGACGTCATGAAGGGGTATACAAATCTCGCCAATCACGTCTTTTCGCGAGTATTTGTGATAGTTGACCACCACCAGTTGAATAACGTAGCGCCTGAGCTCTACGGGGGACAGATTTACGACAAAAGTTTCTTCAAAAATCGGGTTCTGTGTTTTTCTCTTCACCGAGCTTTGGAACTGAAAATCTTGAAAATGATCTGAAATACGAAACAAACACATATACAAAAATTGTCAAAATAATTCAACATTCTCTTGACATTGTAACAGGAAAATAAATGAATCAATCAGAGATAAAAAAAAATAAAAAAAACATCTACGTCCACCAAAACGAATATCATGCTATCATCAAATTCCACCCATCAACCTACTTGAAGGAATTCACCCTAACTGAACGCTTTAAAAAAATGTAACAAAATAATAAAGATTAAGAACTAGAAGGGAGGCTTTAAAGACCGTCACCACTACTGGGCCAGAAGGGATTAGACCACACAGAGAGCCATCAAGGTCACTGTGACAGGTGGCCATCTCATTAACTCAGCTCTCATTTAACATAAGAAAAAGAGGATCATGGGGGACCAACAGTCACCGATTGGGGAAGTTTTCTATATAGAGGGAGCAAGTAGCTACAAGTATGGCAGTGTGCCTTTAAGAAAACAAATAAAGAGTCAAAAGAGAAAGGAGCAATGAGAAAATAGAGGGAGAAAAGAAGAGCGGAGATAGAGATAGAGATAGAGAAAGAGAAAGAGAGAGAGAGAGAGACGATGAGAAGGGGGGGTAGAAGACAGAAAGTGGGAGGGGGCAGATAGAGAGGAGATAAGGGAATAATAGAAAGGGAGATAAACAAATGAGGAAGTAAAGAAAGAAGGGGGCAAGGCTGGATACCTGCACATAATTTTATTACTATAACATGTAACGTGTGTGGACCTGAAAAGCTTGAATCCCACTATAATTCGTCATCGATAAATACCTATGCTTTAGTGGGATTCCCGCTAATGCAGCTGAACAACGTGAATCAATTCAGTAGAATTCGGGTATGGGTATAGACTATACCTTTATCATTGGACTTGACTCTTATCCTAACATACGGATCAATGCTCTCCGAAAAGGGCCTCAACAACAGATTCGTGGCTTCGAGTATCGTCATCGTCAACCCTTTCGACTTGCTGTACGACAGCGAGACGAGAACCTGACCCAGGTCACCGGGCGATGTCTCGACGTCGCTGATGTCGAGATAGTTGGCGTCGTCGACCGGAGTTAACTCATGGACGGAGGAGGCGTGGCGGCCAAGCAGCAAGGAGTGACTCTATCACAGACACCAAAATGATAAAAACTTTCATGAAGGCAGTTCGTTTAGTCATGGGCACTTACAAGAGGAGGTTGAATTTTAATTTTAAAAAAACAATACTTTAAGAGCCTTCTCGTTGAGATTCTGTGTATGTCAGTTTGGCAGAATTTTATATCAGAAATTCCCCTGAAAAGGGTAGCTCATAAGATGCCTTCATATTCGAATTACACCGTTGCCTATAACGTTTGATTAATCTTTTCTATCTCTTTTCATGAAGTGATTTTGACACTTTAGTTTTGATAGATATAGTTTCTATATTCTCAGGACTGTACAGCTCGCTCTCTACAACTCAATACATTGATTGGTGATTCCAACGCTTGGCACGCATTTAGGCTCTGCGTCGGGTTAGTTTCTAGCACTAAGCAAAGTCCTAATGCCAACTATTGGTCAAACACTGTTCAAAACTTAGTTCCGTGGCGGATCTGGGGATCTGTTTTTGGATGAGCGCAGAGCAATCCTTGAAAATCTCTGAAGCAAGAAAGCAAGCAAGCAAAAGAACAGAAACAAATCAAAGCACACGCAATAAAAAAGCAAAAAAAAAAAAAATAACATAACAAATAACGATAGAAAACAAAACAACCAAACAATGTAAAATCTAAGTCTCATTTTGAGATATCTTCTCATGTCTTTACCGAAGTGTACTTTATACATGCCAGCCTTGTTTTTCCCGAGCACCCTCCCCCCCCCCCCCCCCCCCCCTCCTCCCGATGGATACGCCACTGCTCCTGCTGTTAACTTACATGCAGTGATCCATATCCCTCCGAAGTGCTCGAACCTGAAGATGATGCCAGGGAAATCTTCTCATATCTACTACTGGACCTAGAGGGCGCAAATCTCTCCAGAGGATAATCACCTTCTGATTTGTGTTCTGGTAACAAAAACAGAGAGAAGAAAGATAGAGAGAAGGAAGTATGAAGAGAGAGAAAGAGAGAAGGGGAAGAAAACAAAGGTATACAAGATTTCTAACTTGACATTTGCACGACGGATTCAGCATTATGTACCAAAAGAGGGGGGGGGGCAATTCCTAGAAACATTTCCAGCAAATAATCATGAGCATCATTATATTGCTCACCTGTTTTTCTCTTGCGGCAGCATGTGTAGATGAGGAAGGCAATGGCAAGGATAACTCCAAGAGCCACTACCGGTACGACTACACGAAAAATCCAGAAGATAGCGACGTCGGTAGGAGATTGGTAGGACGAATTGCCGTGTGCCATCTTTCTGATCGCAGTTCTGTTTGGTGAATTGAGTTGAAATAAGAATTATGAAAATATATCAATAGATCATCAAAGGCTGAATCACGCGGAATGTGCAATGTTAATACTAAATGTTTACATCAACAATATTGGAGAAGAAGGGGAGAGGGAGGAAGAGAGAAAGCGAGAGAGAGAGAGAGAGGGGGGGGGGGAAGGGAGAGAGAGGCAGAAAGAAAGATATTTTAAAAATGAGAAGGAGAGAGAGAGAGAGATATAGAAATAGAGAGAGAGAAAAAAAGAGAGAGATAGGAAGAGAGAGAGAGAGAGAAAGAGAGAGAGAGAGAGAGAGAGAGAGAGAGAGAGAGAGAGAGAGAGAGAGAGCAGGCGCCTAGCCAGGGGGCGGTGGGGCGGTCACCCCCACAAACGCCGCCCCCCCCCCCCCCCAAAAAAAAGGGGGGAGAGAGAGAAAAGAGAGAAAAAAAAGGAAAGAAAAAGGAGCAGACAAAGAAATATTTTTGAAAATTCAGACAAGGATTAAGAGTCGAGAACGATACAACGAATCGTTTTCTTCTCTAATAATTAAATGGTGTCACATTATTAGTTGGGGCAAAAATTGAACTTTCTAGAAATGTAATTATCTCCTTGAAATTCAGATACCGCCCGCCAAATGACTTTTTGGTTTTCTTTCTTCAAATTGTTTTTAATCAGTCATGCGTGAAACTTTGTATCATAATTATGAATTGCATCAAATGAAAGAGGAGGATCTAAGCTTTACAAATAATGTCATTTATTAATTATAATTGTGATTAAGTTATGATAAAACATCGATTATTCTCGGTTTCGTTTTTCCTGGGACGCACTGTATTGTATGCATTCACAATTTACCTTTAAATTCTAGCATTTGCAGGGTTGCATCATTATGTCACATGCTTCCTCCTACCTCGACATTGTGAAGAGATTTTCTGCTCTTTATTAGAAAAATGCGGGTATGCTTTTCATACATATTGACTTCAACCATTCGTCAGCTACAGAGTTGCATGTTAAGTAAATGATAAAGTAATGTGATATTTCTGATGTGAAAAATATATATGACCGACATTTCTTTGTACTGTTCACCAACAGTGAAGTTTCTAAGGGTAATTTTAGATGACGCATTATATTTTAACATGTGTCGTTTTACCATTGCAAATAAGGTCTCAAAATGTATATCGGAATTCTCTGTAAGCTTCGTGCCTTTTTTGCCAGAAAGGGTAATGTTTATGCGCTATAATTGCCTTACCTTGTCATATACAATACTTTTATGGCGAATGAAGGAACAACAAAACTACCTTTCAGATCGTAGAATTGTAACTTGTTTGGCAACCGTATTTCCGAGGAATTACCTATTGGGCTCGGGGTACCCGAAGGATCTCTCTTGGGTCCATTTTCATTCATAATCTTTATCAACGACTCATCCTCTGTGTTTCATTCATGCAAACTTCATTTGTACGCTGATGACACCGTGATTTACTTTTCTCATAAAGACCCACCTACAGTTTAATTGACCCTAAATACGGTATCGGTCACAGCCTGGACAGGTGGAAGAGCAGAAATAAACATTCATTCATTTATGTTTTTCTCTATAAATTGCCTTCTCTCTTGGGGCACTGCTCAATATTGTGGATAGCAAAATATTCACAGGTCCTTATAAAAGAAAAGACCATCCTGGATCATTCATTTTGAAGAAATTGACATTTTAGTCATAGTATGTGTTGGAAAAATGGGAAAGTTGTCCGGCACTACGTCACAGTTACCTTACTGATGCAGCTTTCAGTTCGTTGTCTTGGGGGGGGGGGGGGCATTTGTTCAGCAAATATAAAGACCTAGAGATGTTTGAAAAACTGTATCGAGAAGAAAAAAGTATAGGCATTCACAAAACAGGGTATCGGTCACAACCTGGGCAGGTGGATGAGCAGAAATAAACTGTTATCGTTAATCAGGACAAAACCACGAGCATGCTCATTGGAAACAGACACATGCTCAACAAGTTTTAACAGACTTGACACTAGTATCCAGGGATAATGTAATCAATCATGTGAAATTCAACTGAAGTTGGATGTACATGTAAATCATCTTTATAAAAAGGCTGGTCGCATGGTTTTATTTATCCTTCGTTTAGGAAAATACATGCATTGAAGAAACTTAAAACTTATATACCGATCTGTTATTCTACCTTATCTAGGTTATGCGGACATGATATTGCAGTCTTCCTATGAAAAACATATAAATCAATTACAAAACTACAAAATAGAGCAGGAAGAGCTATTATGAAAATAAAGCTTCAATTACATTTGTATGTTACTTCAGAGACTTTGAAATCTCGCCAGAAATTCCTTATTAGTGTAATGATGTTTTAAAATTCTCAATAACACGACACCAAATAATTTAACTGAAAATATATTTTATACCCCAAGACCTTATCAGCTACGGTAAAATAATTGTTCCTTCACTCAACCCCCAAAAAACAACTGCAAACGCTGTGTTTTCTTTCTACAAGTGGGCTAAGTTATACAACAGCATTCCCAATCTTCAAGCAATTGCACATCGAGCTCTTTCACATCTGATTTAATTAATACTGTGAGACCTTTCCCTCTCCATCTCTTTCTCTCACTCTCTCTATCCTTCCCCCTCTCTACCATCTATCCCTCTTTGTCTCTCTGTGTCACCATCAACAACAACAAATACCTAGAATAAATAAGTGATTGAAACCGACAAATAACAATAGGCAATTCACGTAATATAACCAAATGTATCCCTAAGTGCCTCGATACGAATTGTTTCATTCACCTGTTACGGAGAATTGTATTTCTGTCAATAGTCAGAACGCAAATCACATATTATAACGAGTTGGTAGGTAGGGCATGGACCTAATAGGTAATAGGTCCATGGGGAGGGCAACCCATAATGGTTATCTTACGTAGTAACAACTAATGTTTGCAATTTGAATTCTGACTATTGAAATACAATTAGTCTTAACATCTTACTAATTCGTATCAGGCGCTTCACAAAGACATAGTGCATACATTAATTTTGGTTACATTATACGAAAATGTCCTATTTAACTACACAATACTCACCCGTTAACAAGATCGAGATCCGATTCACACACATTGCCAAAGGTTCAATCTCTCGTTTTCTCTACCACATTTTAAAATTCTCGATCGTCTTGTTGATAGCAAGTGAATCTGTCCACCAGACCACCACTGTAAACCTTCGTGAGTTGACAACAAAACTGTTTAAAAAAAACGTCCTTCAGGCGATTTAAAAAGCGGCTTTATAGCAAAACCATTAGACTGAAGAGAAAGTGACAATAAAAGTCTTCTCAGAGGGAAAAGAGTCCTTCCTAATTCTCTGCGATGTTTTATCAAGAACTTAATGTTACACTCCAGAGCTGAAAAGACGATACAGTCCGATGATCTCAAGACCCATTGCACATTACGTAAGGGCGTTTCAGGCATTAATGGAAACAACTGGTCCAGGCGCAAACTGCAGACGCAATCCCTTGAATCAAGCTGCGATGGCCTAGCGCAAGATTTCGGATTTGTCTGATAATCGACGGAACGTTGACGTAACGATAAAAACAAAGCAGTTAATGCATACAGAACGTCTGCATGACAACTCACACGCAGCCGTCATTATCTGTAGGGACCTATAGCGTTATTCTATCGAAATGTACAATCAGTTTACTACTGATTGCCTGTATTGGAATAGTATGCAACGCTCTCATAAAATACAAGGAAATGCTGGTAGTCTGTGTCATAATCATATGCCTCTCAAGCATTGAGGCGTATGCTCAATATAGTTTGTATTAAAGTCTACCTGCATGTTGGCTCAAGATCACAAGCCAGGTCAGTCCTGCACAAGATAGTTAAATACTTGTCTTCCTGTATAAACTCATATAATTATTTCCAATATTTACGGCATGCATTTTGAACCAGCGTTTTAAGTAAAAGATTGCAATTACCAAATTATTCGTCATAAACATCCATGAACTCCAATCCAAACCCCATCCTCCCACCCTGACAGCATTACGTTGTCGTTCACAAAGTGCTTTTTCCAGCTGTCCCTTTGAAACTTTAAAGGAAATGACCGTCTGCATAATTATTAGGCGGTGTCCTAAATAGATTCTAAATAGGTGCCCTCTAAATGCTTGACCTATCAATCTACCCTCTTATTCAGGAACATGAAGTTTTAGACGATGAGGGAGTTTATAAATTCCTCAAGGCAACTTCAAAGCACATTACCAAATGTCAATAGCTCGTGTTGAAAAGAGGCATTATTACAATAGAAGTTTTGGAGAGTCATTTTTATCTCCCTTTCTTTGAAACAACAGTTTTCTTATCCACTCCCTCGGATATTCTTTAACTTTCAAAGAAAGTGAGATATTTTTTCTTAAAAGAGGAAAACAGGACTGTATACATAAGAGCCAATTTTCTTAAATCTCCCGACAATCGGTCACCGCGCTCGCTTGCATTAAGTTTACCTATAATTATGTGTATCCTGTATCCTTGATGTTTTCTTCCTTCTTTGTGACGAGATTATGCTTAATAACCAATCAAGATTGGTTATTTTTTTTCTAATAAGACCTTGGCCCCGTTGCATAAAACTTAGCATTGATTTTTACGTTGGCATTTTAATGGTATCTTCCATGGAAACCTTCGTTGAATGGCTGTTGAGTAATTTTGCCATGTTTATTAACGGACCTATAAAAAATATCAAAATTTCGATCGCTCGAAATTGAATCCTCAGACTACCATTCTCATATTAATTATATTGTAGAGGACTAGAGGTATATTATGCATGTTTAGTCACATTTGTATTTCCCCCGTTGTGGTTACCCTTTGTATCCTTATCCATCGCACATGGAAGAGAGTCAGATTGTTAAGAGGTGGAAAAAACTTGACCCAACGAAACGTCGAGCCAATCTTACTACCATGGGTGTCGATCTCGGGGGGGGGGGGGGATATACCCCCCCCCCAATATTTCAGGTGGGGGATGACCTGTACAATCACCCCCCCCCCCCAATAATTCACCTTCAAAAACAAATGAAGATAAAATTAATGATGAGGATGAGAGCCCGATGAAAGTAGTTAATGGTTATTACTCGCAAGATGACCATTAATATACACATTTTGCTATCTCATTTTCATAATACATACAATATAAATAGAAAACGAAGTAAATGAGACAACCGTATATGAGACAAGAATAAATTGAATTCTCGCACATACGGCTTCATCAAGATCGATGAATTTATTCAATTTATTCAATCAACAGCATCATAGAAATGCAGTGCGCCAAATGCAAAACCGCAGCGTTAAAAAGCAACGAGCTAAAATAATATTAAGGGCGAAGCGCAAAAGTAGCAATCTATAATGCACATCAGACAATCCTGGACAGTGTAAACATAGATGAACTCTGTGATGAATTCGTGATGAGATCGGAGACAAGGAGAAAGATTATCAGTCATTAGTATGACTTATAAGATAGTTCACTAGATATGTTGTTTCTGTTCACCCTTTTTAAAATTCACGTCATTGTATCTTTATTTTATTTTTCCACTCATTTTATTTCCTGATATTTCCTAAAACATTTTTCAAAACGAGCTAGGAGTTATAGTCGTGTATTTGTTTAACTCTTTTAATTTGGACATTATTGCCAAGAAAAAATTATCAACCAATCCCTCAATATAAAGAACTCTTAAAAGTAAAGAGCAAGAATATCACATGGCTTTTGGCCAGTTCAATCTTAAGTGATTTTAAATCTATGACTATGTGCGGTTGATGATGCGTTTCTTTCTTCATAATGCAAGTAAAGTAATAAAATATTGTATCATTGAAGAGAAAGACGGTTTTGTCCAAATGGCAGCATGTAGGAGACGAAACTTTCAGTTTGTTCCCTGATTCACACTCAGTATCTATTTTGTTTTATTGATTTCATCCATTTCTTTGTTTATTTATATCTCTACATGCAAAACATTTGAAGAGCTATTTTCCGAAAGGAGCAAAATCTTTTGATAGCAAATGGAGATAATGATATACATTTCCTTTATTTACCTTGAACAAAATTATTAACCTAAATTACGAGAGAAATTATGAACACATGCATCTTGTAATAACAATTTTTCATAGACACCTGAACAAAATCGGGTAAACAAAGAGTTCTTTATTAAGTTACACACATGGATCTAGTGCCTCTTGAAAATAAGCTCTTTGTATGTACATAACAAGCAAAACAACAGAATACTCCAGTTCGATATTTTGGAGAAAGATTATTATGTCAAAACTTATTTTTGTTTTATTGAAAAGCTGATGTAGGCCTATGTATTGTATTCAAACGTAACATGCATAAGATAAATGAGGTGTTTTTGAAGGTTAGAACATCGAGTATGGACACAGGACGGTGTAATCATCGTCAACAAACCCGGTGGTGGACGCATCAAGGTAACCCGTGAAAGTCATTTTGCTAGATTATCTGAACTAAACTTTCATGAATGATTTCGGACATTTTGAACTGTGATGCATAAAGCTTTATCTTAATTTTCTACTTTTGCTCGTTAAATATTATTATTGATTTCATGTATGTTCGTTTTGATACTGCATTCTATTTAAAATGCGCTGTACTATTTGTTATAAGTGCACAAAAAAGAATCAATCTATATATGCTTGTTCATGTGGAAGTATATGTCATGTAACATGTGCTAAAGCAGAATCATATCCATTACCCTGGATATGCCAACCTTGTTTAAGTAATGCCATACCTTTTAATCACATAGTTGATGATTTAGACTTTAAGTTCGCTATTCATACCTTTTTTGAAATAGACCACCCTTCATTTCATAATGGAAGTCACGATGATTTACAATTTGATATTTTCTCCCTGAATGAAGTGATGAGTTCCCGGTTAGATGACCATATTTCTGATTGTAATTATTATTTCAATGACACCTTCAATGTTAAAATTAATAATCGAAAATCAGAAGGTCAATTTTTATTGTTCCACTTGAATGCTCGTAGTCTTATATCAAAGTTTTCTCATGTTCAAGATTACATACATACACTTCACCACGATTTCACAATATACGCATTTACGGAAACCTGGTTTAAGGGAGACCCACATTCATTTTATAATTTGCCTAATTACAAACTTATTCAAAAACATAGAATTGGTCGTGTAGGCGGGGGTGTGTGTATGTACGTCAGGGACAATGTCACCTTCAAACCAAGGACGGATTTGGATTTTTGTACTTCAACTATAGATACTGTTTTTATTGAAATCGTAAAGGAAGGGAAGAATCTAATCGTTGGAACTGTATACAAATCTCCCGATACTTGTGGTGCAGAGTTTAATGACCATCTTGAAGAATGTCTTGGTAAAGTTAACAAAGAGAATAAACAATGTTATATTGCTGGAGACTTTAACTTTGATTTACTTAGTTACGCCCTTCATTCGGATACCAATGCATTTATCGATACAATGTACTCCTCCTCTTTTCTCCCACTTATCACGAAACCAACCCGTGTAACTACTAACTCATCTACTTGTATTGACAACATCTTTACAAATGTTTTGAATAAGCCAATCCTGCCTGGTATTTTGTATTCAGATGTGTCTGATCACTTTCCCATCTTTCAAGTAACGAACTCTTTACCACCAAATTACCACACCCACTTGAATAGGAACAATGCGAGTCAAGTTAAACACCGAATAGACTTTAACTCATTGTGTGAAGATTTAGCATTGTATGATTGGTCTTTGGTAACATCCAAAACCAATGTCAACGAAGCTTACGATACCTTTATTCAAGATTTTAAACAGATGATTTCAAAGCATTCGAAAACAATACCTGGCAAGGATAGACGTAGATCATCCAAAAAACCATGGATTACGAAAGGCATTCTCAAATCCATTGGTAGAAAGGAACGCTTGTATAAGCGGTATTTAAAACTGAAAAACCCCTCCGTGAAGAAAAAGTACACATCTTTCAGAAATAGGCTTACTCACATTATACGTGTCTCCAAAAAGAACTACTTTGCTGAAAAGCTTGAATCAAATCGCCATGATTTAAAGAACACTTGGAAAACTCTGAACAACCTGCTTGGTAAAGATAGTAAATCGAAATTACCCTCATTCATTCGTAAAGATGGTGTAAGGCTTACTGAACCAAAAGCAATTGCAAATGCATTTAACTCGTTTTTCGTAAATGCTGGTTGTTTTGATGATCCCCAGACCACTGGATGCTTTCGTGACTATTTGAAAACCAGCGTAACGCATTCTTTGTTTCTTTCACCAACAGATCGAAATGAGATCTTGAAGTTATCCTCTTCCTTGAAAAATAAACACTCATGTGGGGTGGATGATATGTCACCATACGTTATAAAGAAGTTAATTTCCTATATTGTTGAACCTTTAACCCATGTGTTTAATTTATCATTTATGTCTGGAACATTTCCTGAATCAATGAAAGTTTCAAAAGTCATACCTTTATTTAAGAAAGGTGATATACATGATTTATCGAACTATCGCCCAATATCATTGCTCTCGACTTTTTCCAAGATTTTAGAAAGACTAATGTACAATCGATTATCTACTTTCCTTCATAAGCATTCAATTATTTTTTCGGAACAGTTTGGGTTTCGAAAATGTTATTCAACAGAGTCAGCTTTACTTTTTGCATC